CAGACAAGATATTACCAAAACAATTAACCCAGGATGGTAAAGAAATGAAGAAATCTAAATATTAGGTAGATAGATAGTTAAATAATGAGTTCTACACATCCCACTTTTGAACAACTTGCCTAATGAAAATAATGAATTGTGTCCAAATATCAAGATAATCTTTTAGGTCTTTCTCCAGCATTGCTACCTGCTATGGCAGAAAACTGAAGAAAGGGCTTTATCAATGACTGAATGTCTTTGGAACCTCTTCACAAGAAGGTTCACCTAACACTATCTTAACTTCTCTTTTTAGCCAAGGTGAAAATCTTTTTTACTTGCTCAGGCCTTTTTGGGTTTTTATAACAGAACTCTGTACACATACTGTATGTACATAAAGTAAATGTCTTCAAGTTCAGTGGGGTAAAACCTTTCAGATAAATCAGAACAGAATTGCAGACTTGTTGAATAATATTTTTATATCGGCATTTTATCTGTTCTCCTATTATATGCAATTGAGAGCTAAATACTGGTTAGTTAATGATTTTAAGAAGTATGTTTTCTCCAGCATTATGTTGTTTAGCACAGCAGTTTTGGATATGGCCAATTCCAAGATAAGGACCAACAGAAAAATCCATGTATACTGCCCTCAAAGAAAAAGGTAAATACAGTAAATATTTTACCATCATAAGACCTTTAATATGATTAGATGAACAAGAGCCAGTTGACCATGATCTACTGAAACTGGTATCTTAGCAAATTCACAACAGATTAATCTCAAAAAAATGGAGGAAAATTATTCTACATATACAAAACCTTTGTAATTCAAAGCCATGAAATTAATCGACAGAGCTCTCCTTACAGTTAAATAGTTCTTCCCTGTACTTGTAATATAGTATATAGAATTGCCTACAATAATTTTCATCAACTTTGTAACCTTCAGATGGGTTGAAACTATAATTCCTGGAATTCTCAGCAAACCTAGCATCAGAGTGGGAAAGAGAAGCTACTATATGATTCAAGATGGCCATTACCTGTTTAAATGCTGGGGAAAAATGTATCTAACATTAATGTGCAAAACACTTTGAAACAAAAAAGTCTCATTTAGAATTCAAATCAGGTTTCTGATTTTACAGATCAGAACAGAACAAAACTGAAATGGATATCTTTCAAGCTGAATGTATTGTAGTCAGAACAGCATTAGAATGTTTTTTGTATAGTTGGGTTTTACAGCTGTTTTGAGCTTGAAAACAGATATTTCAAATTCAAAATATTTTGCATGCACTCAGTCTCCAAATGCTATAATACCTAAATTTTTGAAATGTGTAAATTAAAGAAATTTCTTCTACACATATTATATTATTCCAAAGGGAATATATTACCTGGCACTTCTGGAGCTTTAACAAGAGTAACTGAATAGTCATCTTTAAATGCTTGCTCTAATACACAGCCCAAAATCATAGCACAAGAGCGCCAATAAGCCTGCAAAATATTATTAATTCAAGTTATATCAAGACAGTTCAAGTTTTCAAAGCAAAATTTAAAAGACTCAATATATTGTGTATGAAGTTTCATGTTTGGCAGCAAATGTTATTAAAATATGCAGCCAGACATAAAAGATATTGGCCTTGCATTCTGTTTCTGAGCATCCTAAGGAATAAGAATGTCATTTATATTACAAGTCAAAAATGCTCCACTTGTATTATTTAAATCTGTAATTATATAATAGAAAGCTAGAAAGATGAATTTATATAATAAGAGAAAAAGAATATCATTATATTCAAATTGCTTTTGGACCAACTTCTGTACAGGTTGTCCTCGGGTTAGAACCACTCGTTCAGCAACCATTCAAAGTTACGACGGTGCTGAACAAGTGGTACTTACAATCAGTTCTTGAAGTTCCAGCCATCACAGCACTGCCGCAGTCACGTGATCGTGATTCAGGCACTTGGCAACTGGCTCACACCCACAACAGTTGCAGTGCCCCACATTCACATGATCACCACTCACGAGCAGTCAATGGGAAAGCCAGAAGGAAAGCCTGCAAGTTGCTCCAGTAAGTTGCTCCGGCTCCTGCCGCTTTTTCTCCTGAGGAACCCTGCTACAGAGTACAAGATCCCAGGAATCTCACACTCTGTAGCACTCACCCACTGCAGCAACCCCCCCTACCGATACACCACAGAGCGTGCGGCTCAGCCACACTTGTGCAAAGCCGTAGCCCTCCACAAGCCACACTGGAGCACCCACTCCCCACCTGACCACACTCGTACCACAGCACCTATCCCCCCACCTGCCCATACTCCATAGCACTCACCCACATGCTTGCCTGCTTGCGAGCCGCTTAAGAAAAGGCTCGTAGTGACCGGAACTTGCAACTTCCTGTTGGCTTCCCTTTTGACTTTGCGATCATGGAATGTCCTTGCTTAAAGACCCATGAGCCTAGCTGAACAAGACCAACCAGGATTGCCATCACTAAGTGATGTGGTCTCGTGATGTCGCACTTTACAACTGCATTGCTTAGTGACACAAATTCCAGTCCCAATTACTGTTGTTAAGCAAGGACTACCCGTATTTACATTCAACTAAATTTAAAGCATGCATTCTTTTATCCCTCAGGCTTAATAAAAACAAGGTCCAATACAAAGGCAAGAAAACTTTGTAAATAAAATTGGTATTGTCATACTTTGTTCACTTCTTCTGCATCTTCATCTTTGAAAGTAAGAAACTGAATTTCACAAGAATGAGTCAAAGGTCTGTACATATCCCAGAGCTGCCCATCTACAAGGGCAAGCACAGATCTCTTAGTGTACCATTCACTTAAATCTAGAAAAGGTAAAAAATAAAAATAAAACTTCAGAAATTATCACATTATGCTAGAATCTTATTTTACTAACGAAACAACAGTCTACAAGAATCACCTGTATAATAGCTAAGGTGTAAAATTAATTGTTTTTAAGAGGAGCACTAAGGTTTCACTACTAGTTCTTTTGAACCACTGCTGCTGCTATTTGCTATTTTTTTTTTAATCCTACTATAAGACACTATCAGAATCAAACACCTTTTCTGGTTAACAGGGAGAAGCCAGGATTTTTTGCCTGTTTTGGATCATGTTATTTGTTGTTACTAAACAGCTTGATGATATTTCTACTTTTTATGATATTTCATGTGGAATTAATGAGAATGGGTGAAATGATTCAACAAAACTGAGAGTTCAGAATTGTTACTCTCTACAGTAAGAGATGAAATACTATGGAAGAGGAGTACTGATCTGTGGAAACCAAGAAACACACTAGGGAAGCAGAATGACTGGGAAATGAAATTAGTGTAACTTGCCCTTTGGAACGGTGATCCCAAGTGAACCCTTATTAAAGTGATGTAGTTTAACCCTCAAACATTTTCTATTTGCAGAAGCATAACTAACTAATCCATTGTCCTTCTTAAATGAAACATGTTTTAATTTGTTATTCAGACTAACAACAACCATCTATTTCAATTACTTACGCATAGCACAACTGTATGGAGTGGAAAGCCCTTTGTTCATTATAAATAAGGTGTCAGGGTGCGATTTACCCACATATTTTACTTCAATCTTCTCAATCCTTGGATTAAGAGACAGTTGTCTTTCCTTCTCTTTTATAAACAGATCATTGCGCCTTTGAGCAATTTCTGCTGTTGAAAGTTGAGGAGTAGGTGCAGTTGAAATAAACCCTGCAAAGAAATTTTTGTTAAAATATATTCTTTTAATTGTCCAATATCCTCTTTGCTAATACATTTATATGGGAGTAAGTTCCACAGATTTGACTAAAATTAAATGAAGGAAAAATATTCCTTACTGCAGGACCTGTAATTAATATCAGGTACATCTCTGGAATGTGTGAAAGTGCATTTCTTTCACTCAAAATCTGACAAAAAAATAACCATTTAACATTTAAAGTAAGATTCTGCAAATTTGACGTGTAGGCGTGTGGAGGAATGGCAGTATCATATGTCATTAATATCTGGCATATCACATCCAATCATATAATAATTCAGGCCTTATTAAAATATGCACACTGATCATATTACAAACTTCAGGATGCTGCACAAACACCTTACCATACACAATGCACACTGCTCCTCATACGTCATACCTGCCAACTCTGCTTTTCTTACCACAATTATCTAGAGAGCACTCTTCAACTTAAGGATCACAGTTAGAAGTGTCAAACTATAAAATCTGCAGGGTCAAAAAGCAGGGCACCAACCACATAAAGCAAACTGAACCCAATGTTCATAGCCCTGGAATCCATTATTAAATTCCAGGATTAAAACTGGAAAATGCGAGCCATCGATAGGAAATATTGTTGATCGTATGTAAGCGGTTATCCGACTTTCACTAATCATTTAAAGCCAACAGGCATCTCCACGCTCAGGAGGCTGTTCTTCCATGATTTAAGAAAGGCGGATTGCAGTATTTTAATCTAAGAAAGGCAACACGCAACCAACATACATTGAAGTGGAGGACGATGTAAAATTCCTCAGCTGCATCCCTTGCCCCCCAGAGTCTCAACCAGCCATCCCTCCGGTTCCTCTGTAGGCTTACTTTTGCTGCAGCCCCCCCGTAGTCCGCGAGTCAACCAAACAGAAACCATCGCGAGCGTCCTTTCTCTCCTCGTCCTCCTTCTTTCGGCGTCCGACGTACTTCGCGTCCTCCGGAAACACCGATCACGCCAAAAGCGTTCCATCTCCTCGCGGTTCCGTTCTCGCCGCTTTGCTTCAGCAGTAGCATCCGCTCTTTAGGCTCTGAGGCTGTTCTGCTCAGCTGTGAGAAAAGAACGGGGGGGGGGGGGGGGCAGGGCTTTCTTTCCTAGATTTAAGTGGAAATCTTTTTTTAAGGCTGTTAATTAGGTGCTGGGAAGACCCGAACGGCCACTC